AGCCATCACAAAATCCCCCCGGCCCCCTGGGACCCCCAGGCCTGATCACACAGCCAGGTCTTGAGGGACTTGCGGAATGTTAAGAGGGATGGAACTAATCTCACTTCTAGGGGGACAAAATTCCACAAGGTGGGCACCAGGGCAGAGAACCCCTGCCTCCTGGGACCCGCCAAATGTAATTCTCTGGCAGATGGGACCTGCAGCATGCCTTCTCTGCCAGACCTGATGGGATGGGCAGATGTAATCAGGGAGAGGCAGTCCCTCAGGTAACTCGGCTCCATGCCATGAAGGGCTTTGCCTTTGATTCATAGCATCCCTCAAAACTCAGGCAAAAATGGGGAAAGGTTAAAGTAATTTGAACTGGTCCCAAACAAACAGAGTTAGATGTGTTATCCAGGAGAATCATAATTATCTAGGCACAGAACTTCAAAAAAAAATCAAAATCATGACAATGGTGACGATGATGGCTTCAAATTATAAATCAATGGTGGCAAGCTTTGCATCCTTCTGACATACCAAGGTTTGTCTTCCTCTTCAGTGGTGGGCTTTGCTCTCTGCTAAAGACAAATCTCCCTCATGTTGCAGTCTCAATTATTGTGCCCAGTTTGGTCATTTCAGAATCAAGCTAAATAAGGTAAAAGTTTCCGGTTTTGGAAAATATATTACTGAATAGTCAGGGTAATGATTATGCTTCAAGTTCAGTTGTACTATTTCCTGTGCAGTCTCACCTCCCCTGATGAAGATATTCTGGTTAGTGGGGGGAGTAACATTTTAAAGAAAGTTGAGATAATTAAATAAAGTATAATGCCTGATGACTTCATGGCCACAACTATGTTGTTTTTGTGGCCATAACATGAAAGTGGTTTGCCATGGCAATATGTCATGGGTCTAGAGTTCTAGACACTCAGTTTGTCTAGAACTCTAGGATTTTTTATGGCCTTCCATCCAAACCCTAACCAGGCACCATGTTGCTTAGTTTCTTAACCCAGACAGATTGGCCAGACATTACATCTGCAGAGGGAAGACATTAAGTAATGGGTTAAATTTATCTGTTTGGTTGACTTGGAAGATACCATTGCTGGTAGGCCCACATGCATAGCTATACAATCCATTTGTTATCTGATAACAAATTAATCATTAATTAAAGAGAAGGAATACAGTAACCACTAAGACAGAAGTGGGCAATGAGATGGTCATGGAAGCTTTCTCTGATGTCTTCCAGTTTCCATATCAAACCTTAACTTTAATTATTAGATTATTTTAATTTAAGACAAATTAAATGAGAAACTGGCATGTTGCACTCTAAAGAGTCAGCCTCTAGCATTTTTAGAAGCTCTATAAATGCTTTTCTGGTACTAGAAACATTTTTAAGAATATAAAAATGGTGAGTGGTGGCAGCCCAGGCTTTTGTTTAGTAGTCATATGAAAAAGGTAGGAAATAATGTACACAATTAACAACAGACCCTTGTCAAAACTTGTGGGACACTCCCACTGACATCCACATGGAAGGAGAATCCATGGTTTTAATAGACTAGGTAGGTAGAAGATGGAATCTGGGCAGGTAGATCTTTTCAAGAATGGCCAGCATGCATTAATTGTACACATTCATAACTTAGAAAGATGAAGAAGGGAACTCTGTCCTCCTTTGCATATTGTTACTGGGGAGGAGGATAAATGAACCAAGAATGAAAACTTCAGAAAACATCTGCATCAGAACATCTTTATTGATATTGCACTGTGTGCAAGCCACAGGAAAGGTTCAGAAGAAAGAGGAGACCAATGAGGCAATTCTTATGAGTTGATCTCTTGAAGAGGATGGAAGAGAACTTTATCTCTGCATGATGTGAGGAGATAATGAGATTAGTGGGAAGGCAGCCCATCATGTTAGCATCTTGGGAAGCACAGGGAGAAGCTTCAGGCATCTTTAGAGTTCATGTTTGCAGATGTAGGCATTGTGTTTGCTGCACTGAATGTCGTTCCATAGTTGGAAGCCTAAAATACAAATGACAAGAAAAGTCTTATCATTTTTTGCCCTTTATTTATTTCCAAATTGGAATGCTCCACAGGGAGGGAGAGAGGGAGGGAGGGAGGAAGGAATACACATACCGACACATTATATATACACATACACATACATACATACATACATACATACATACACATTACATATGAGACAAGTGAAGTAAAAAGCTGATTTGCATTTAATTCTGCCTTCTAAATCACTGTTTTTTATGCCTGTTATTGAGACTTTCACCATTATTTTCTTCTATAATTAGACCTAAGAATTTCTCAGAGGGATACTATTGAAAAAGTATGAGATATAAAGTTGGCAAAAGATTGCAAATCCATGTTGTTTAGAATAGTCAAAATATCTTGCAACCGTGACCAAGTGTGTATTATAAAATTAAGACTAAACTCTCTGCTCTTTAAAGCAAAATGGTCTCTAATCTGTTATCTCATGGAATTAAACTATACATCTTAGTCATATTATAAGTCTTCCAGTCCCTCGGGGTCTCAGAGGTGGGCTTCAGGCCTGAAGAAGTAAGTTGCCGCAGCTGATCTGATGCATAGACTGACTGACCTGCAATTTCCCACAGGCTGAAACTCATGGAGAACAAGTATCCCTAAGGTAGCCTTGTCATTCTCAGATACTGAGAAGTTTGCTTACCTGTGGATTGTCGCAGCTCCACACAGTGCTCATTGTTACCATAGTTGTCTGGCTGGTTCCTCATCCAGGATTTGTAGTTGTAAGTGGATTCATCAGCCCATCTCCACTTCCTGGTCTGTGGAAAGGAAATGTGGTTAAAGGAATGACAGCTTTGTCTAAAGATAGACTAGTAATTTTTGTGTATGATTATGAAATACTGAATTTTTCAGTGGCAAAATGTGGAGCAGGAGTCTTCAGGATTTAGGTGAGTCAATCATCCTTATGCTACTATTGGTAGTGATAATTAGGAACATAGTTACATCAGATGATCTCACCTGACGGACATCGTGGAGTCCAATCCAGACATCACTGAGTTCTTGTTGGTAAGTGGAGATGTGCTCAGCCACCAGGAGGGTCTCTGCTCTGGTAAGGATGGAGGCAAGATGGGCCCCACGGCCATAGCTCTGGCACTCAATCTGAGAAGAGCAAAAGGGGATATTACTTCTGTGATCAGTTCCCAACTCCAGGATCTGTGAAACTTCCCAAGTGTTGAGTTAAACCTTGTAGAATTCCAAATGTGGTCAATCATTCGTGCAACAGGAATTGAAGAGATGTTTTAAGTCTCACTTGGAGATGCTAACGTTACACATCAACTTGGTCAAAACCTGTATTTACACTAGAATAGCCTTCCTTTCAATTCCAAATTCAGGAGTATTTTACTTGAAATGTTGGAGAAGAATATGTTCCAAAGTCTGTAAAGCAATAAAGTTGTGTTATTATTATTCCTTCCAGCTCAAGCTCTGTAACAGATAATCTGGATCTATCCCTTACCCTGCAATTCCTTTTCAAAAGTGGATGCCACACAATCAAATTGTAGACCCTACATTACACCAGATGTTGGTTGGTGAGAAACGCTTCTTACCTCAGCTTCTTGCCAGGTCAACTTTTTGTCAAAATATGCATAACAGTTGCCTTGATTTTGCAGCCACTCCCTGGCACAGGTGTCGGCCTCCACTGCATTGAAAGAGGACAGTGAAAAAGAAGAAGTAAAGTCAGGACACCATGACGTCTATATAGAAGAAACATCTTGCTATAGGGTCCTGTAATTCAACATTTTGTGACCCTTGGTGGTGAACTAAGAAAATTCAGGAAGATCCCAAGTGTGAATGTGAGGGCTGGAGATCTTTCCAATTGCTCTTTCTGAGCATCTAGTATTTGGTATGCTGGCTTTGATTCAGAAGGTAGTAAACAGCCATCAGGACTGGCAACTATGGATAGTCCTTTCCAGCCTGAATTTGGGGTTGTCTTCTTTTGAAACCATCTAAACTGGTGGACATTACCATCCTTGATGGCAATGAAGATAGTTTTTAACACTCCCTCTACATTAATGCAGGAAATGTGAATTTACAATCCATGTAATTCTGCCTGAGTGACTTAGTTTACCTTATTATGGTACTTGACCTGATCATACACATACATATACATGCTCACACTGATATAAATTAAAATAAAATTAGTCCCCAACTTGAAATGACAAAACAAATTTATCCTGGATTTGCAGTTAAAAAGAAATTAGGGAAGCTGCTTTTTACCTATCAAGTGACAGTAATACATTTTTTCTTTGATTCTACAGCCATTATGAATAATTTCATTACCTTAATATTGATCTCTGGGTCTGAATTGGCAAGCAAAAATTGACTTGTGACAAAGTATTTTGTATTTGTATTTGTATATTGGAAGGAATTTGGAAGTGGGGTATATAGCTTTTTCAAATACACTGCTTGAGTGGACATGTTCTTTTGATATGAGTGACCCCCGGCCACAAGAGAAAGCTCTCATACAGTATGGAATTTTCTTTTATTGTCCAAACAGAACGTGGACGAGTTAACGTACTGTGCCAATGTGATTGCCCTTTTATTTTTGAGAATTAATATAATAATAAATACTCTTCTAGCTTCCGAGAACAGTTGATTTCATTTGACTTTTGATAAACCCAGAACCAATGATACATCCAACTGGTGGTCCAAATCTCTTGTCCTTTCCTTAATATTGGCTCTGGCTTTCTCTAACCTAGAACCAAGAGTGCCCCAGAAGGAAATCATATCCCTGGACCTTACCCCCCAAAGACAAGTTGTAGAAGATTGAAAGAACCTCTCCATATGATGATAGTCAAACCAAGGGGTTTAATTCAACTTCGGCTAATGTTTAAAAATTGTGGTCCAGACCTGACATCATGGCACACCATAACTTAGTGGTAGTTCATAAGGTCACACGCCAAAGGCCCCATGTTAAATTCCTGACATTGCAATTATACAATTGTATCCTTGTCTAGAAACATCTTGTTTAAACCTTCCTATTTCTATACTTTTGTGGGAAGCAGCCATGACTAGGTTATCATCACTTTAGGACACTTATATTTTAAGATATGAGAGCAACTCTTGTTTCTGGTACTGTGAAAAAAACCTGCTGGGTGTTGAAAGACAACAATTAAATGGAAATGAAAAATATCAGAGGAATTCACCTTGCAGGAAAGGACCAGCAAAGAAGATGCCAAGAAGGCAAAGGCTGAAGTAGGTGAGGAGACCCATCTTCTGGTTGACCTTTGAGGAGAGAAAGGAAGACGAAATACAAGAAGTGCATTCTTTAATTGCCATTCACTGAAGAAAGGGAATGAAGAGAAGAAGGGTATGTGTTTTTCTTCTTTAAGGCACAATTCTTATCCTGCTCTCCTCTTATTTGAATTCTGAAGAAGCTATATATTTGATAATGGATTAGAAACAAGATATACTGTAGATATGTTTTCCAATGAAATCATGCTGATTTCAGTAGGTTGACTGAAAATATGGTAAGCCTGGACCCATTGATTTCAGCAGAACATCATGTGCTTCAATTGTCCCAGATCTCTCCTGAGTATTTTCATGTTATGTAATTTGGAGAGCAAAGTTATGAATGCAGCCAGACATTACAGGCAAAACTGAAGGTCACTTCTCATGTTATATGGCAGCAATCTCAGGAATATCAGTTATATAGTTAAACTTGAGAAGAAGTTACAGCTAATCCCAGCTCCCAGAAATATGGACATTTATTACAGAACTCTTTGTGAAGATTCGTTAGTATAGTCTCTCTCCACATGTTGAAATGCACTGTGAATAAATATCATGAATTAAGAGTCTGGCAATCCTCCTGTGTTGTTATCCAAATGAAGTTTTGTCATTTGACTTCCTATAAAGTCTCACTTGCTTTTCTCTGTGAGACACCAAGAAGCAGGTGTCATAACCAGCCTTAACCATAAACCAGGGTAGCAGAACCTCTATTCTGAGAATATAAATCTTGTTCTTAAAGTCTACTCTGCTTGTGTGCCTTTGATCCCTGATTCTCCTATACTTGCTACAGCTTGCAGGGTCCTCTTATCTCTTCAGCCACTCACCTTGCAATGCTCTTCTCCTGGATTGACAGAAGTAGTGGACTCTTGGATGCTCTCTTGCTTTCTGAGCAACAGTTATATGCAACCCAGGCAGACATGGTGCAACACCAGTGATCTGAGACCTTCAAGGAAATCCTGGTCTGTCATTTTCAATTTTGCATAAATGAAGGCCAAGTGTCAGGAAGTAGTTCGTGAACCCTATCATCATCAGCACTGGAAAAGGGCATTATCTTTTATTTTAGCAATGCAAGTATTGCTAAAATCATTGCTTTGACTCTATCCTTGAGAAGAGATGTCAAATGGAGAATATCAATTCAGCTGTGAAAGCATTTGTTCATTTCCTCATTCCACTGACCTTTAATTCCAGATATTAGCCTGGTTGAACCCCAAGATTTCTTTATTCCACTGCAAGACCCTGTTTTTCTGCAATGTCCCTTGCTTAATATTTTCCACACAAGACTCCTTCTCCTTCTCCTTCTCCTTCTCCTTCTCCTTCTCCTTCTCCTTCTCCTTCTCCTTCTTCTCATTTCCACTCACAACACTCAAAATGGCTAACAACATAACAATACTAATGAAACATAGCAAGTTGAAATCTGATACAACTGTTAATATTACTTGTACAGTAATTCAAATAACTGAAAAGGCCTAGCTCATGAAGGTCTTCATTTGTCATTTAAGAACAGAATGAGTTTATGCTGGAGGGTGAATGCAACTGCTGAAGAAGCAGATTTTATAATCTAGGAAGACCCACTCCTGTGGGTCTGAGAAATGGACTGAGGGCATTTGAAAAATAGGCTCACCTGCTCACCTTCACATCCAGACAGATTCACTGACATAGGCGATTCCTCAGATAGTCAAGCTTCAAGCTGTTAGGACTTCACAGCTCAAAAACAACATCTTAAGGGTCAACCAAGAAAACAACTAGCAACAAAAACCCATGTTTTGATATGAACAAAATAGGCACTTACTATTGTGTATTAATGGCAACCTGCTAACCACATTATACAACAACAAGGGTTCCAGATATTCTTCAAGGATAACCTATGTAGAGTCAATTGCAGTAGTCAAGCCTAGATTATCCAAGGCACTGGTAACCAGTTTCAGGGTTGCTGCAGCCAATGAATTAACTATAATTATATTTTGCTCCTCAAGTGGAAGAAAGCGTATGCTACTGGATTTGTTCATCTATTCATCCCTTGTAACTCCTTTTCTCCTCAGATTTTGAAGATGTATAAGAATATTTCTCTATGCCAAGAGGCAGCTGGACCTAACACAGCTATTTAGGAGTTTCCTGCCAAAGGAAGCCAAAATGTAGCCAGGTTGCTCAGACAATGTCAGAGGCTGATGGAATTTAAGAAACAACATAGGCTTTGTAAAGTTGGTAAGGATAGCACAAGTTGATGAAGGTCTCCATGAATTATCTGCCTAGAACTCTTAGCTGCAAAGACTCTTGTTTAGAAATCAGCTCAGATTTTCACTCGTGATTCTTTGGGGACTGATTGCCTCTGGACATCTGTTTACATATGTATAAAGTTGGACTCACTTTATGTATTTGAGATAAGCCTGATGAATTTACTCCAATGTTAAACAAAATAAACACAACCATTCATGAGCCTGGATGCTCTGTATTCAGGTCTTCATGTGACCAAGGATTCCATATCTGATTCAGAGGACAACATCAAAGTACTATGCAGCATCAGGAAGTATAGGCGAATGAGGGTTGGACCCCACAGAGAAACATTCAGCTGAAAAATGCACTTTCTTGTAAGTAAAGCAGTATTCATGAGTAAGGCCCTATTCACTAGGATGATAGTGATATCCAGATAGCTATGCTTACCTACTATTGGGATCTGGGTATAGTTCTGGAAGCTCTAGCTTGACCATCCTGTCTAACCCAGCTTCTCTGGTTGTACTGGCTTGGCTTGTTGTTGAAATTGAAATTGAAATTGTCATGACAGACTGTGGCTTGCTTCCTGACCCATCTTCTAGTCAACTGGGATTTTCTGTGCATTGCCTTGACAACTCTATAGTAGAACAGGAACCCAGGCCAGATTTCATGTCTAACAGTTGACATGTCCCTAATGGTCACAGCCTGTGATAGAACAGGTAGAGGCTTATGCGTAAGTCAGTAATTAAGCAACCTGTCTCCCCTGTTTTAAGATTTCCATAAATCAACCTTCATGGTATCTCCTAGGACATTTACAGCCACTTAGCTTGTAAAAAAACAACTGTTCCACCATGCAAAGAATCGGATAACTCATGTTCTTCAAGTGGGCAGCCAATGCAATGTTCTTATTCATTCTCTTCCCTGGATTTTCTGACACCCACGGATAATATTAAAGACATCCAAGTTGTGATCAGAGATTAGTGGTGCAGACATTCCTACCCAAATGTTCCACACTGAAAAATAATCACAAAAGTTGGAAATTCCATTTTCTGACCGTTCATGATACGGCGTCAGAGGAGTTTCCCTCTAGGCTTATACATTTCCTTGTGGCCTTCAAGAGAGTGCTGAAAGTGGGAACAATGTTACAATTCAAGAATGATATTGGCACGTACACTTAGTATTTTGACTACTCCTCCTTAAGACTATCTATCACCTTACTTTTTGCATTATAGTGAAAGAGCAATAGTTGCATAAATGTTATGAGTCATAGTCAGCTGCTGATCAAAATCTCTCAATATATCTTCTTCTTCTTTGCCACGTTATTTTAGCTTTGGTTGTTATATAGCATTTTTTATTTTCAAAAGGCTTTCATCTCAAAGAATCCAAAAAACCCCAAAGAAATTGGCAATGTTCAGTTCAGAGCTATCCAATGCTTTAATTTTAGAATAAAGAGCATGAACTTCAATTATTTCTAGATAAATGAATGGCTTGTTAGGGAGACAAATTTAGAAGTCCATCTTTTCTGTGACTCAATATTGGGAATGGTGTCATCCTATCTGCATTTTGCTAAGTGGCCTGGTTCTGGCTTCTTTTCTCAGTTATTCTTGTTTCCCTTTTCCCCTTAATTCCATTGATCATAATGCAAGTGGAAAAATTCTGTGTCTTTTAATGATCTTCATTATCTTGGACAGGAGAAGACAATAGCTCAAAGAGCCCATGATCAAGGAGTGGTCAAAAAAGTTAAGATGGCAGTTGTAACTGCACAATCAAAGCCTTGTCCTTTTGTACATATGTTGAAGTCACACAGATGTACAAAGGGCAGGGCTTCAATCACACAGTTACGACTTTTTTGACTACCTTATGGATACCATGACCCCTGTGCATAGTTCATCTGCAAGAGATCTCTAGGAGAATGATCCCCGCTGGACTAGATCTTGTTAACTCCAATTGTGATCTCCTTATCAATGTCCACTTTTCCAGGGATCGGCTTCAGTCCTGTTACTGTATTACATGGCTGAAAACCAGGGTCACACAGCCTGTCTTCCATTATTATCCTGACAGTGGATAATATTTTACTATTGTATGATGATTTTACTATTGTAATCAAATTCCTAATAAAATTTAATCTCTCTATCTCTCTCTGATATTATCTCATAAATAAATTGAACATGGTAGACGCAGCGAAAATAAGGTTGGTCCAATTGTGCTCAGGGTCTTGTGGGAACATAGGATTTTTTTTTCTCATGTTGGGTGAACCAGGCCATGACTTTAAGCCATATTATGATTTGTTTATTTGGGCATTGAGACTGGCAGATGATCTGTTAGGATTAATCAAACCCGATGTCTGACATGGGTATGTCATGATCCACCATGATGACTCATCTGACCACTGCAGTTTCTTTCTTCTTAACATTTGTTTAATGGGTCAACAGGCAAACTGCTGGACTTGTACATAACTTCATACATTTATGTTACCAAGCTTACTTTAAAAAGTTATTGTTCTTTTCTACAGTGAAATGGGACTTGCTCACATGCACATGAACAGCTAAAGCTTCTCAGCATCAAGACCATTTAGATCTTGGTCTAAGGTCTAAGATCTAAGGTAATCTTCCAGAAGATGTGTTAATTTTTTGGAGCTATGGTTCCCAGAACTTTCAACTTTCACGGCTAGAGAGGCTGGGAATTATGGAAATTGTCACTGCAGCTATTTGGGAGATGCAAAGTTGGGAAAAGAACACTTATCTCAAATTACATGGCTGCACCACTAATAATAAAGCTTTCTTTGCCCATCTAAGAAAAGGCTGGGTGTAATTTATGAATGCGGACCATTTCCTACAATGTTTCTTTCGTGGTAGATAAGTTCAACCTAAGATCCTTGAATCCCTCGGGAGAGGAAGTTGTCTGTCTGAAAACGGTAGGGGTATCCTTCAGATTGGTCACTGGTGAGTCATTTGTGACAGAGGCATTCACCTTTGGGCTTGTGATAACATTTAGTAACTTGGACCTCCTGGTTTGCAATGGTGTATCAAGGCATTTCCTGAAATTTGTTACCCTTGTTATTTCATCACATTTTCCTGAGGTCTATATAACAGACTCCTATGGAGCACAGAACATCTAAGATCAAGTTCAGCAGGGAACCAAACACAACTTCTAGTGGAGGATTCAGGTGAGGACCTAAATTACCTACTTTTTTCCCCTTTTGGTATCACTGTTGCCATTTAAAGATGTTTTTACAGGTAGTCCTTGAGTTATGACCATTTGTTCAGTGACTGTTTGAAGTTACAACTGTGCTGAACAAAGGGACTTACAACTGGTCTCTGAAGTTCTGGCCATTTCAGCATGCCTGCGGTCACATTAACAAAATTCAGGCGCTTGGCAACCAGCTCGCACTTACAACTGGTTGCAGCTTCCCGTGGTCACGTGATTGCCATTTGTGACCTTCCCTGCCGGCTTCCCACAAACAATGACAATGCTTGTGCACTGCGCTCTCCTTCCCCCTTTCGCTTGCACTCATGCACCGCACCTCCTTCCCTGGCCTCCTTGAGCTCACACACACGCACGCACCCATCAGCACCCTCCTTCTCTGGCCTTTCTGAACTCACACTGCACTAAGCACCCCTCCCCCAACTTGTGGCAGCCTGCGCTTAGTGACAGCAATCCTGGTCCCAATTGCCGTTGTAACTCAAGGACTACCTGTATTATATACTGGTGCTGAAACACTGATTTTGTTTGAATTCTGAACTTCTGTGCATTATTCAGGAGGCCTTCTAGCTGAGAATGAGGAAAGTTAGGAAAGTTTTAGGAAAGTTTTTCACAAAGATAACAATAACAACTATAAGGATGATGATGATGATGATGATGATGACGACGACGTTCTCCCTCTATCTTCAGACAGCAACTGAAATTGTTTATGTAACTGGCATGGCACAATCTGTACACAAGAGGGCAGCACCTGTGGGTTAGAAGAAACTCAAGATTTGCAGGAGACACATTTTTTATGGGGAAAACTTCCAAATCATTGCTGGATCTGCTTAGACAGAAATCCAATACATTAATTAATAAAAAGAGTTTCCATAAAACTGGCTTTGAAGGAGGGGTAAAAAAGTATCCTGAGGTAAAACTCTTTGTTTTTTAATATTTTGTCTCAGGTACCCCCTTTAGACAAATTGCGTTGAGAGCCAGCTTATTCTATTGGACCGAGGAGTCTATGGTTTTGGGAAATGCAGCTTTCAGACATTACAGATTTGAGGGTAACATGTTTAGTGGTGGTTTGGGTGGTGGTGATTGTAAAAAACACAATGTAACTGTGACCAGCTCGTGAAGGTGTAAGTTAGAAGTAGTGCTGGACGTTTTCTCAGTATCAGGCCTTGTGGAACTTGAAAACGAAGCCCACCAGCCTAAGAGTGAGTTATGGGCTGGGTTCACAATTATGTTAAGCCATAATGCCGTTTGTTTAATTCTGACTTAGCGTAATGTGGGAGTCCAGTCACTTTGGTTTGTAAATCATAGTCTATGCAAAGATGCACAAACCTTTCTGTGCAGAGGCCCACGCTTGGCCAGTGAGTGGTATGCTAGAAGCCTCTCAAAAAGGGGTAGGTCAAGCTTGGGAAAAATATATATTGTAATACATTTTCCATTTAAATTGAATGGAAATTAAATATAGTTAAAATTAAGGATATGCAAACGGAGTCCAATTCCATTCAAATGTTCAGACTGATTCAGAAAAATCCATCTAATTTGAATTTCTGAATTGGATTTGATCTGGACCATTAAAACACATCTGCATCCTTGGAAAACATCCACGTCTTCTAAATTGATTTGAACCTATTTAGACCCATCCAGTTTGACAAATCCAAATCCAAATCCAGCGTTCCAAACCTATCTGAACTGATTGGAGTGTCAGATATTCACGCAAGCCTACTTAATGATTATTCTCCCATCATATGTTTAATAATTTTCTCCTCTTATTTTAAAAATAACAATTTGCTACGAAATGGTGGACCTTCTGCCACCCCAGAGCCCTCCAATACCAGTTTATGGTTACAAGATTCATGGTCTTGTGTGTGATGTAAGCCAGGATGTAAGCCAGGTTTTATCATCAAGCCATGGTTCAAATAAACCACAATTTAATATAATGCTTGAGCCCTATATACAAATTAATAATATACTTGGTTGAAAACCTATCAGTCCAAGGAATTGTGCAATACTGACTCTTGAAAATTGAAAATACACAGCAAGGTTGAATTTGTGTATAGAAGTTTCTACTAAAGGTTCTGCTGCTCATTTACCTCCCTCACTATTTGGTATTTTTAGGTGAGCTTAGAAAATGGGATCACTTGTTTATCTAAGTGCCTTCCTGACCAGCTTTCTGCTTTCCAGCTCTTTACTTGGAGGTGAGTTTCTCCTAAGTTCTTCACTGCTAATAGAACAAAATAGCCGAAGCCATACTTCTGGGCTAGGAGACTTTTTCAGTACTAGAGCTACCAGATCTCAGCTGCAAAAATCCACATGATCACTAGGAAGGAGAGTTGTATGCATCTCCTTGAAGCCATCTAGTGGTCATCTCCAGATTTGCATCTCAGATCTGGTACAAGTAGTCCTCCGCTTATGACCACAATTGGGACCAGAACGTCTGTCACTAAGCAATACGATTGTTAAGTGAGTCGCACCTGATTTTATGACCTTTTTGCCATGGTGTTAAGTGAATCACATGGTTGTTAAGTGAATCTGGCTTCTTGCATTAACTTTGCTTGTCAGAAGCCCCCAGGGAAGGTTGCAAATGACAATCACATGGTCCTGGCATGCTGCAACTGTCATAAATACATGCTGGTTGCCAAGCACCTGAATTTTGACCATATGACCGTGGGGCTCTGCAATAGTCGTAAGTGTGAGGACTGGTTGTAAGTCGCTTTTTTCAGTGCTGTTGTAACTTTAAATGGTCATTAAATGAATGGTCATAACTTGAGGACTATTTGTAGTCTTATTTAGCACTAAAACATGGCTTGCTTTCCTGATTTGAACACAATAGTAACTTGTATTGGGATCTCATTGTTTGTAGGAAAAAAATTCTGCAAGGTGTCTATTGTCCATCCCTTCAGTAACAAGAAGGTGGAGATAAATTTACAATGTAAGATTCCTCTGAAAAGCAGCCAGTGATATATTACAGTGTCATGCATACATAGAGATTCAGCAGACTTAAGTAGGGTATGGAAACAATATTATTTTTAGGTAGTTCTGTCCCCTTCATTCCCAGACCTATAATATTGCTCTCTATCTGACACTCTCCATATTGGGGCAAACAAATGAGCCTATGGCAACGTATTACCCAAACTGATTTCAAATGAGAACTGCTCGGTATCCATTATTTCTCTTAAAGTAAATCTTCATTTTGTGGTAATGATTCTCAGTTATACTCTGTGTCCAGATCTGCATGTGTACATCCATGGTAGAATTGGTTTAAATTTTAGCAGGTTTTCCTTACTTGAGTTTGCAAAATATGAAGTAAATACTTCCTAGCTCAGAACCCATGACTAAAATACAACTTCATGCAAGCGTACTTACAAAAGACCATACTTTCTGGGTTCTGTTTTATGCAGTAGTTCCTCTAACTTAAATCTGAATAATTTCAAAACTGTGTCCTCTTCTCAGTATTTAAAGATGAATCGCTGATCTGGTGCATACAACACGCAAAAACCATTATGCGATTTGTTGGACGTCTTCTGGGAACTTAGCCAGTTGTGGTTTATTCAATAATTCATGGTAAAACTAACCATGGCTTGGTGTGATGTGTCTACTCAGTGTTTCAGTAAGGACAGCTTTAAAAAGTGTTCAGGACTGGAAACTTGTATTACCATAAATTGGTGGCTATGAAAACTGCAAGAGATGAAACGATCACTTAGTGGTAGAAGAGGTGTTTTGCATACCAAAAGCTCAGGTTTAAGCCTTAATCTTTTTACTTAGGCCAAGAAAGACTTTTGCAGAAGGCACCAAAGGTCATTTGCCTATTAGTGTAGAGACTGCTAGTCTAGATTGGCCCATGATCAGAATAAATGAGACAGACATATATAGTATGTTGCAAGATCTTTTGTGTTTCTGGTCGAGTAGCAGCTTTTTCCCTTTCCGATCCCACTCTCCATCCTTCCTGTTTATCGGTCTCCCACCTGTACAGTTAGTGCTGACACCTGTGCCAGAGAGTGGCTACAGTACCAGGGCAACTGCTATGGATATTTTGAGACCAAGAAGACATGGGAAGAAGCTGAGGTAAGAGGAAGCTCTGAATATGAGACCTTGCATGTAGTCCATCTCACCTGGGCTAGTCCAGATCATCTTGTCCCTATCTGATGCCTTCTCCTTGTTTCCTTATATGGAAACTAACCAGGCAGACAGTTGGACAATAGTTCCATGAAACTACATTTCCCTCCACATCTGGGAACAGCAACCAGCTGTGAAGATGCAGCACATGGTCAAGGCTCATCACAAACAAACCTTACTAAGGCTGGAGGGCTAGCTCAGTAGAATGGAAACCCTTCCGGAGAAAATTCAGAAAACTTTACCTTCCAGTATCTACTGTCTCAGGCAGTTAATTAGCTATGCCTGATATTAGGTTGGTTCTGCACCAGATATGACTATTCCCAATATATGAAACTTCAGACTGGGAGGTGGGAGACTTTTTTCATCATGTATCAGGACTGGTGGCCCACAGATGAGCCAGAAAGCCAAAAGGGCTGGGCAAACTCAACAGCTCAGTCTGAGGCAGAGTGACATGGTCTTCTGGCTCAGGAGGGATATTGGAATCAAAAACTTCATCATTTCACATAGTCCTGTTGGTCATTTTTTGCCATTTGATCCATCAAAGCAGGCTAATTCACTGGCTAGCCAGATGCAGAAGAAAGGAACAGTATCACTAAAAGCCTTTCCTTCCTTGTGTCATCCAGATTGAATGCCAGAGTTACCACCGTGGGGCCCATCTGGCATCCATTCTCACTCTTGCAGAGACTCTCGTAGTGGCTAATCACATCTTGGCCTACCAGACTAAACCCAGCAATGTGTGGATTGGACTGCATGACATTAGACATGTAAGTAACTAGAAGCCAGCATTAATATGCTCAGCCAATGTCCTCAACAGGAAAGAAGCACTCCTCTGTCTAATGCTTTATACTTTGCATGACATGTGATTAAAAGTATAGTCTCCTTTGAGTTGAGCTTGATTACTCCGTGGAGTCCAATCAATGGAACTTTCTTGATAATAGTATACAAATGTCTTTCAGTGTTTTTTTTAAATTCCCCGTCTAGTCTATAGCTCTTGTTGGCCTCCTGTCCAAGGACTAACCAGGTCTGACAGTGTTGGCCAGGAGATGCCACCTTCTGAGACATGACATGGAATGAGGGATTATGGAAAACTTCAGACTTCCTTCCAGAATCTTCACGATAATTCAGAAGTCCTTGTTGAACTGTTTGTTATGTTTTGGTCTTCTGAGCATTCCTTTCTCTTATTCAATGATGTCTTTTCTCTATGTGTTCTAAGTCCTTCATGCTTTTCTGGCTCATATTCTCTGATCCTTAGGAGCAAACTTTATATATTTCTCTCCTTCTCCAATTGTGGAGTCCTCCAAATGTGTTCTGTCCTGTTTGGAATCAGTTTGCAAATAGTTTTAAAGACAGACATATATTTCTGCATGGAAATGCATGCATAGATGCAGATATTTCTTCTACCAATGCATTTTGCATACATCTTTCTTGATATATTTTAGGGCTATGCATGCTTTGAAAATGTTTCAGAAGAAGTGTTTATTTCTTTGAAACCTCTTCCATGAAACTTCTTTGTTATTCATTAAAGTGATCTGCTATTTTCCAAGCGTCTGTACAACCTGAAAAAAATGCTCCATTAAAACAGTGGGATCTTTTTTTTTTTTCAAGTTCACACTGAATACTCACAGCCCTAGTGTTTTTGCAACTGATTTTTCCAATATAATGTTTTTTAATTTGCATGATGACTTCCCTCTATCCACCCTTGTCTGGAAATGTGACCTTCACTGAAAGATTAAGAAAACTGAAGATGCTGGCATTTAAATGAATGCAAAGTGAACACATTTCTCCCCATCCTTACATTGGGCATGCTGGCTGGGGAGGATGGGAGTTGAAGTACAGACTACATGGAGATCACTAGGCTGGGGAGTAAAGCTCAGAGGAATGCATAATGGCCTAGAGATTCCACCATCCATGATTGTTTTCCTTCACCCTGATTTATCTGTGGATCAGCTTTTCGGGAAAACATGTTTTATGACCTCTTGGAACGCAGAAAGCTCAGTCACATTATGTTTGGCTGATCTGGGCTTTTTCCTGATCCTTTCCCAATCCAAAGCCATTTCACCTTGGGAATTCCATGGAAGCCACCTTGCTATCATTATGACTCTCATCCTCCACTTACAGGCCAACTTCCTTCAGCTTCTTCTCCGTACAGGCTTGCAGCTGCTTGCTGGCTTCTGTACTGGCATCCTGCTTTTCTGCCACTTGAGCTATTTTTGTCTCCAAAGCATTGATGGAAGACTTGTCAGACTTGAGAACACCCTTCATTTCCTGCAGCTGAATCGCCCGTTTCTTGTTTTGATGCTCAAGCTGCTGGCAAGCCTCTTCATTCTTCTCATCATTGTTGTTCTCTGTGTTCAGGTCTGCGTTTATGTATTCTTTGTGTTCTTTAAATAAATATTTCCTGTCCTTCTAATGCATATGCATCATGCCTGGCACTGCATGATGAATCACTCTTGCAATCTGCTTTTTCAGTGAAAACCGTGTATCAAAATACTTGTTCCAATTCTCCTCTTCCATCTCCTCCTATTGCCTACTGTCTTTCTTCTTTGAGACATTAGCAACATCCACCTTCTCATCTATATAGGACTAGCATCCCTGGGTAATTATCTATCCGGTGGAACGGCTGCACAACATTTTCTATCTCATGTCTGCTTTCCTACAAGAGATAAGGCAATCTTCAACTATCTTCAACAAGCAGTCCAGAAGTGTTGGGACTGCAATCTCCGGAAATTCCAATTAGTGTGGATTATATAATCCTTCTACAAATCTTCCCTTGAATATTTTTTTTTTTACAATACCTAGGGCCATCTGTGCTTCCAAGTACAACTTCCAAAGGTCTTGGAGTTGAGTCATATAAGTCATCAAACTTTCAATGGGGCTTCAAATGTGGGAACAAAACTCACCCTTCAATTCAGACAATGTATCCACTCTACTCTCTAGAATATTTTTGTGTTCTCCCCTCCCTTGGTTCATTTTGATAGCCTAGCCAAGCCAAGCCAAGCCAAGCCAAGCCAAGCCAAGCCAAGCCCTCCCTTTTTGCTGTGTCCTCTAATTGCCAGTTACACTCTCTGCCTCAGGAAGGATTGTGCAAGGAGTTTAAATTCCCCAAATGTTATGCTGCTTCTGCCTAAGGCTGCTCAGAGGAAATAATTGAGCTTGTACACCTGAAAGCTATACTTGAAACTTTGCCATTTCATCAACTAGCCTAGTCAATAGTAGCACTGTGTAAGGCCTCTGGAATAGCTGTCCCTTTCCTTAGACTCCTTGATTCTTATTGTAATGCCAGCGATATGGCATTGACTGAGGAAAGCTAGATTGCCAAGCAGTCTGGAATCTAATTCATAAACATTGGCTTCTCCATGTTGTTCTCATTTTTCCTTATTGTTCTGTTTCTTTGCCTTCTCTTTTCCTTCAGTGGTCTCTTCATAGGCATCTCCCTATTTTCCCCCCTCTGTCCCATGCTTTTCTTGGTTTTCCCAACTTACATTTCAAAGCCCTTGGAGACAGATTTGGAACCAAAGCTTTTTTCAGGTTTGAACTAGTTGCCATTCTTTCTTGCTCTTTTCACTATGCAGAATGGAAAATGGAGGTGGTCAGATGAATCTACCTACAACTACAAGGCATGGATGCTGGGAAAACCCAACTTGGGAATGAAGGAATATTGTGTTGAGTTGGTCCGTCCTGTACGTGGGGCCAATATTCCTAAAGATTCCAATCATCAATTTGAAGAAATACCCAACAGAGATCGAAGAGGTGAAAATTCATGAGATATTGCCAGGAGGGGACTTTCCTGCTCATTATCATTCCCTGCCCTCACATGAACCACCTACTACATGATAGTGCATGAAATAGTACCCATTCTTGGAATAAGTGTGCACCAGTTACAGCAGGAAGACCAACAGGACAAATCATAGAGAAGCAGATCCAAAGCTCATTTCCCAACATTCAGCATGACTGGGAGCCTATGGTTGGCTTCATGCATCATGCTAAATTATGGTTTGTTTTAATGTGGTTTGTTGAACAGGCCATAGTGGCCTGGTTTACATGATTTAGGTTCAAATGGCCAGGTTAAAAAAACAAAAACAAAACTAAGTTAAGACTTGCAACATGGGAATTCAACTAATAGCTCCTGGGATTAGTTAACCCTGAGCTCCAGGAACTATTGGTTAGGTGCCCCACACTTCCCAAGTCCAGTTTGCTAGCACAAGCAGCTAAAGTATTTGAAACTAAAAGAAAGGCAATAGAGCACGAGGTTCCACCAAACTGAGATCTACTTCTTTATTCTTTAGGAAGAGAGTGAAACATAATGAACAAGACACATTAGCTGACCTTCAGCTTCCTTGGAGCAAGCTGTTCGCTTGGTTTTCTCCCAGGTCCTGAAATTCCAGCTCAGGCATCTATGACTTTTGCTAAATTGTAAATTGCTAAACAGAGATGACTCATCCCTCTAGGATAGATTATCATTTTATTTATTTTGCTGTAAGCCCATGATGGCCTGGTCTGGAACAGGGCCACCAGATATGGGGAGGAAGAACAGTCACCTTACTTGCATTGGTAGGGGTATTTTTTAATTAAGTGATAGCAATGAACCCCTTTGAAGATTAGGCTTTCCTACTCCATGCATAATGACATTGATTCAGGTCATTGCCAGCTTAAAATCAAGCAACTAAAACAACCATTTGGAACAGGATATTAGCTTGAATGTCCAGCAGAACCTACGAATCTTGAATGAGAACAAGACAGGATATCTTTGCTTCTTATCTGTGTTGTAGTTAGAAACATTTTGAATTATGGGGGTAGAACCCCTTCTTGCTTTTGAGGGAGCTTCTGTCTGTTTTGTGATAATCATGCCATGCTTTGTTGAATCCTAAAGCTGGCTGGCTGTTATTCCATTCTTTAATCACAGCTTGTTCTTCTTCCTCATAGATTTCACAAAATGGAATAACACTGCATGTCACAAATTGAATGCCTACATCTGCAAGCATGAATTGTAGGAAAGAGACCCTGATGCCAAAAGATGTGAATGAATTGGACTTACACATGAATTGAACTTATAGAAGAACATCTGTGCCATCTTCAGACCAGTTTTATAAGACTGTGCTGAGAGTTATTTACATCTCAGATTCCTTGGGGAAGTTCCCTAACAGTTAAAATAATAAAAATGCCCATTTAACTTAATAATGTTGACATACTCTTTGAACCTTGATCATTCATACATTTTTCCCCACACTTCTTTCAGTGGAGGTGGTATTGGTTAATGAAATAATTAAGGAATACAATACTTTGTATGATATGGATATGAATTTTTGCTCTATCATTTCATTACATATTTTGTTTCCTTCCCATCATGAACAATCCCTGACAGTTTCAAGGATAGAAACTGAGACTCTACACTATACATTCTACACTCAGAGACTCTTGCTTACTTTCTGTTTTAAGTCAATTCTTAAGATTTGGAGAGAAATTTTACATACACAGAGACACAAATAATGCACATGGGGTGTTTGTGTGTGTGTGTGTGTGTGAGAGAGAGAGAGAGAGAGAGAGAAGAAAAACATATTCCACAAAAGCATACATTTATCTTCTACTAGTCAAAACTAGTCTTGCATATACAATTCATGTCATGGTATAGAATTAGATTATAAACATTCAAGTCACTTTTCTTAACAGTAAGAAAAAGTGAGTAGCTAAACATATTGATTGGTTATACACAGTCCAAACATTCAAAAAAATCTTCCAGTCAGGACTCCCAATGTTTGTTCAACTACAGAAAGAAAGGTACATTTTTCAGATCATTGTAAAACAGAGAGAAACTAGGTGTCCTTTGAACCTTGTAACACCAAGGTTTTTCTCCCATTCATAAAAGTAAATTCCATTTCTGTTTATCCACATGTAAGTTTCCAAACCACTGCTCTTTAATAATAATTAAAAAAAAAAAAGTAGAGGGTCTACAAAACTGAACCTGCCAGAATAAAATTAATACAAAAAATGAAATCAGTCCAAAAGGATTAGAATATGTTATCATTGTGTAAACACATCAATTAATGAAACATATGTCAACATATTAATGCCAATATATTGTCAATAATGCCAATCTCTGTCTAATGCTATGGTGTAGTGGTAATGTGAAGGTTTACACCATAGATTTGTGTAATTGGCCATGTAAGAAAAAGAAAGTATAGGAGAACCACTCAGAGCAGACCAGAAACAGAACAAGGTTTGTCCAGGAAGATTTCAATGCAATTGAAAAACACTGGAATTAAGGGCTCCCAGAAGGCAGTTTTCACAATTGGCAGTTCCCAAACCAAAAGTGAACTAGTGAACTAGGTGAGGCCCCAGTAGAAAAGTACCAGGCGGTGTGAGAAAAGTGCCAAGGAGGGAGTGGCTAAGCCTTGTTGGAATTAATAAAAGTGAACGGCAACTGTAGTCCTCTGGAGCACTGAAGGAGATCCATGTACGTTGGGCCTCTTGCCTTGATACTACTGGAATGCAAATCTAACCCGGCTGATAGACTTTGATCTGGGTAGGTATGCATGGTGTGAATGTGTGAACAAATGGAACTTTTAGTTCAAAACGTTCACTGTAGAAGTTGTAAACTGGCCTTTTACATGTCATGTAAGTTGGTGTTTACATGTCTGTATCTTTGGGTAACAAAAAAGTACTTCTCAGTGCTCTTGGACAAATTTATATAAAATTTTAAAAAGTTCCCTTCAATAAAACCTCCTTGCAACAGAAAGCCTGTGCACCAGAAGTTCAGAAAGCTGTCCTTTGGACTGATGTAGTTATTATTTATTTTCTTGGTTTTGCTCTTGAATTTTCCTTTGTAAAGCAAAGGTATAAACATGAACAATTAAAATGTATAATCCTTATGAACCTTTCAGATTTGCCCTCTTTTCAGGGTTGTTCTTTATTTTTTTCCAAGAAAATATGGCCACTGTACTTATGTCTGGCCAGGGGTACAAGGGCTACAGAGGTGGCCAGAGGTGCAACTTTTTGTAGTGTTTTCCTGAGGATGAGCGAAAGCTATTCCTGGCCTCCTCCCCTTTCTCACTGCTTCTTCAAGAGAGTTTAAGCCGATGCTGTGGGCAAAGGTCAGTTGCCGGCTCAAGCTCCAGGCCAGTTAAACTGGAACTTCGGCTTTATCGGAAAAGGGAGAGGAAACCTTTTACCAGTTCATTACTCTTTAGATCCTGGATAATGAGCGGGAGGAATGGAAACCGGCCGATGGAGGATTTGGCACAGGGGATGGGATAAGCACCAGAGGAAGAATTTAATAGCTTGGGTCTTGGAGTGAATTGAGAGTTTTTGTTTCATGACAAATTGGGGAAGATGAATCAAGTTCATTACTCTTTAGATCCTGGATAATGAGCGGGAGGAATGGAAACCGGCCGATGGAGGATTTGGCACAGGGGATGGGATAAGCACCAGAGGAAGAATTTAATAGCTTGGGTCTTGGAGTGAATTGAGAGTTTTTGTTTCATGACAAATTGGGGAAGATGAATCAATGCAAGTCACAGCCAAGTCTTGCATGAGAATGCTGGTGAAAAGTGATACCTCAGTTGAGATATTTCCGATGGGGCAAAAAGCCACCTCTTTCACAGTGTGGCTAAGCAGGCTTTCTCTGAAGTCCTTGACTGAAATAAACCCTCTGGTAAAGGGTTCTTGAAATGTAGGGGAAAGGATCCAGATACTAGTCGAGGGACTTTTAAAACATTTGAACAAGTATTGCATCACAGATTCTCCTTCCTTGAAAGGAAAAATAAAAAGCCTTGTTCTACAATGTACACTAGAGGGCAGCAAGGAAAAATAGATAGAAAACTTGTAACTTCTGGTTTCACCTTCCTGTTTGAAGTCAAAGCAATATTTTGCTCATTGACCTGGGGACAGAAAAGGTCATGAGTATCACGTGAAGGACAAAACATAGCTGATATCCCACCAGAACCAGCATTTCTGCAAATAATCATATGTATTTAATACCAGATCAAAAGGAAAATAAGATATTACTCTTGTGATTTTCTTGTTTCTGTCCATTGCAAGGAGCATAAAGGGGTGTTGATAGATTTATGCCTGTTCCGGTCCTACAGCTGTGATGGAAACCTGAATCAATCACTTAAAGAATGTGCCATCCAACTGACAGTTGAACATGACATTTGACAGATAACATGGGCTATTTCAGACCAGTCATCCTAGAATAAACTTCCATGTCAACTCGACCACCTTGCTTTGCAAAACAATTGGTTCACACCACTCACTTCCACTTGCATGAGACACTCAGAAATCAGGCTTTTCTTGTGTGAATAGACACCCCTGAATGGCAAAATGTGTATCATGGACATATTTGGACCCTGAGGTTCCTGGATGATTTTCGAAGTCACGGTATGGCCCTAGTAAATGTTGTGCAAGGGGGAGGAAAGAAAGTGCACAGGTTATACTCTGAACCAAAATAAAGCCCAGGGTAGTCTGTATTAAGAAAAGACTGCTTTATTAAGAAAATTTCCAGGTACATCAATATAATTCTATATCACTACTGCTGGCTAGATTCAAGTTTACTCCCTGATTAATTCTGAAAAGGTTGGGAGGACAGGAAAAAAGGACAGCTTTAACTTCTTAGACCCCAGCCCAGACAAAAGCTAAATGCTACTAAAGGCTAGTCCTAAGTTCTGAAAGTAATTCATTAGTAAGGTGCGATCCCATCCAGGTTTTGATGGGACAATGTTTGCTCCAACATAGTATTTCCCACTGAAGCACCCAACCCAGACAAAAAAAAGAGTGAACTGTTGTTTTCCAAAATTTGAACAGAACCTCACAGGGAACTCATCTCGTTAGCTTTCTATTTTTGAGAGTTTCCTGCAAAGTTTTATGGTAATTGATGGCTGCAAAATGTAGGAGAGAGGGAAGAGCATCTGGCATTGGGCTTTATCCACTCTGGGATTGGAACAACTGCATGATTTTCAGCAAGCTAATGGGACACCGTTTTCTCATTTAGGAAGCATCTCTGTGGGAAAGGCAGCTGGACAATGACTTGGGATATGAATGACTTTGATCAAAGTCTCCTTCCCTTCTGATCAGCGACCCAGAGGAGAGGATATGCAGCCCTTCCATTGCACACCTGGACATAACTACAGACATACAACAGGAAGGAGGATAGAAAACAGATGCCCATAGACACACACATTAGCTGTTGGGTGTCTGTCCCTCCTGGGTAACCCAGGGTCAAAGATCCATGCATGGAAAGTAGCCTTAGATTACTACCCAGATTAAAGTGGTTTCATTTTTTCCTTCCTGGTGAGAAAATCATCCACTTGTGTAAAAGTAGTCCTCGGAAGAGAAACAGAAGTTTGGATTTCTTCTGGTAAGTTTAGTTTAGAGAGTTCTCTTTTATACCTGGAGCTCTGCTGGGTTTCAACTCAGAATACAAGCGTCCTGAGCTTTTATCAGTGTGCATGGGTCAAGAGACTCTTAAGTAATTCTCCCTATTATCTTTATTGCTATCAGTGCTGGCATTAAAAGCTTACTGGGATTTGCTGCATTCAAATGGCACCAAGGCCAAACAAGAACTTGGGTGTTGCAAAGGCCAACAGGGTTGGCTGGCTTCATGCCTTGGAGGGAGTGCCTGCCTCAGAACATTTCCCCAAATTCTCTGCAACCCACAAGGGTTGCATTACACATGTGCCATGGATCTAGCAAAGAGAAGGAGGGATTGCTCTGCAGAATGAACACATATGCATCAATGGACATTTCAAGATGCCTTTCAAAGGAACCCCACAGGGGGCACGTCCAGGAGCTTATAAGTTATTATGTCCTTTCTTCATGGAATCTGGTTTCTAAAGCTATTTTTTTTTTCCTCTTTTTTTGCTGGAAGGATGATGAACTAATCGTCTGGCGAATCTTGTAGGAGAAAGTGGATCCAAATGGAAATCACTATGGTACACATTCAAGACTTTATTCCAGGAATCTACATCTTCTGTCCATCTGAGGACTACATGTATCGTTTGGTTGGTGTGTCAGGGGCCACTCTCCAAAATGAAGGTGGGGCCAGGAGAGAATCAAAATATGATTTCATTTAAATTTCAGTCCAATTAAAATAAAATAAAATTAATGTAATGCAGTGAATATGATTCCATCCCAAGAATTTAATCATTTTTTTCCCATCCAACCTTAGACATTACAATCCTAGGGCTACTTTTAAAAGAGTACTAGGCTTTTAAGGGTACCCAAGGCCTTTGGGGATCTCATGAAGCTGGTCACCCTTAAACGCTGCCTAGAAATTCTTATGATGAAATTTGTTTAATTACTGTAGAGCAACAAATAAGTAAGTCTTCCAATTTCTTCAGAGCTCAAAATGAAAAATGAAGCATATGAAATGTAAGTTTTGTATTTGCTGATGTGGCATCGATCACATGCATCGGTTCCACAATGGAATTTTGTTTCAATCTGTGATGCAGAGATATCTGGGAGGAAGTCCCATCAAATTCAACAGGTCTCCAAGGACTCAGAAGGAAAAAGGAAAAGGAACCAAAGAATGAAGCCATTCTTGGATTTCCAGAGGAAGAATGGTGGACTGAAGATGGCTCTGCAAAAAGCAGAGCTGTTTATTGCAGCAAAAAACAAAGAGCTGATGGGTAGATTGGCTCTTCTGACCCTCTCTGGATAAAGAGAGAACATGAGATCACCCACATGTGCCCTTAGAGCCTCCAAGTGTTGGGTGGAAGTTCAAGAGCCTTAATAGAGACCTACAAGGAGAATTTCTGGTGGCACTCCAAAGCGTTGTGTGGAAGTCTTAAAGAAGCTTCACATGGATCCATGACATGATTCCTCCAAAGTCCTGGCTGACCATTAAGATGCTCTGAGAGTGGAGAGGAAGGAAAGTGTACAGATCACAACCTGAGCCTAAGTTAGGCACAATAACAGTTTGTATTTACAAGAAACCACTTTATTAAGTGTCAGTTAGATTCAGGTTTATCCCCTGATTAATTTTCAGAAGTTTCAGGAAGAGAAAAAAAGGACAGCTGTCTTGCTCACTATGAAGCACATGGAAAGGAAAGCAAGGAGACCTGTAAATTTGAAGCCCATGGCTACTTGTCTCAGCCTTGCGGTTCTAGTTCAGTTTGAAGGGAGAATTTTCTTTAAAATACATTTCATTTCAGATCAAACAGTTTGCTTTATCAAGTAAACATATAAAGCAATATATTGAGCTGAATTCTTGATCCACATTTCCTGGATGTTTTCTTCTGGTGATAAGTAGTGAGCACTTCCTTCTTTGCTTATGGTATGATTTGATTGAAGTGAACTGGTAAATTATTTTCACAGGTTACACAAATGTGTTTCACTTGCTGTGTCCCCTGATATTCACAGTCATTAGGAGGCTTGCCATCTAAATAATGACAATCTATCATAGGATAAGCAACCCTGCTGTCAATGACACTGTGCGACCCACTTCCTTGGCACATTTGCTGGACATTTTCAGGAGCATTGTTGATAAACGTGTTGTGAATTTTACAGTGCTTTTCTGTCATTTGTCGCATCTTCATCAGCCGGTTGCAATAGGCATTGGGGTTGGGAGCTTTGCTTTTGGGGTAATCAATGTGCTTTCGTTGGAAATTTGCCCAGGTTTGCCCTTGGCTGGGCTGCACCACCAGAACCCCAAGAAGAACAGCCAAAGAGACAAGCAATGAGATCTTGGAGGTGAGCATGGCAGGGGACTCAAGGAATCTGCAGAGATTAGAAATAGAAGAGGGGTAAATATTCTGATTCCCCTGTACTCCATTGACATCTCTCAGAAAATGATAATAGACCAGTTTGACTTGCATACAGTGGTCAGTTTGTGCACTGATGAAACCCAATGGTTCCATCTATTGCTGGCAGCCTGAAACTTCTGAATTTCACCTTCAGGTATCCAGGGCAGGGGTGGGGGTGGGAGGGATATGTGTCCCCATAAAGAGCATGACATCATTCTGTGTTGTCAGAGGGTATCTTGTGCCAGTCCAGCTATAATGTTGGCTCCATAAAATCAAAGAGAAGGGGGTATATGCATGGAACTCATAGCTCAGTGCTCTTCATAGGACTTCTCACACAGGCCCAGGCCCAGGCCCAGGCCCAGGCCCAGCTTCAGATGGACAGACAAAAGCTAAAGGAGATACCAAGGGCTAGTGCTAAACTCTGGAAGGAAATGACTAGTAAGGTGCTATCCCATCCAGGTTTTTGGTGGGACTAAAACCTGTTCTTATCAGTAGTGTTTTCCACTGAAGCCCTCAACCTCAAATGTAAAAAGAATGAGCTATTGTTTTCCAAACATTGGACAGAATCTTAGGGTTAGGGTTAGGGTTAGGGTTAGGGTTAGGGCTAGGGTCAGGGTTAGGGTTAGGGTTAGGGTTAGGGCTAGGGTTAGGGT